CACACACCCACACACCCACACACCCACACACCCACGCACACACATACCATATTATGTTTTATATGCTATATATATAATATGTATATATATAGCATAATATAAAACAGACAGTGTGGATCGGAGCCGACTGCTTACCTCTGCCGGGATGCCAATTGTTTCTCCCACCTCGTTTGCCCACCACACCATCAAATACGAAAAGAGACCAATCCAAACGATGCTGCCAATGAATGTGATGAAGAACCACCTTTGAAGATGCTGAAAAGTAGAAAACGTATTTGTATTAAACATAGGTTGTAAGAGCAACCGTGGTTAGCGTTCACACATTGGTACAATGAAGACCAGTAAATTGGCAATTTCACGGGTTAAGCGCCTGTCATGAAATCATGAACGCTGCGTGTTGTAGCCGAGCTCACACACGTCAGGTAAATTTACACGTTGCAGTGTTCAATTAGGCTGCGAACAGTGCGCAAAGGCTTATGTCTGCGTACGTATATGTAAGTTCGTGTGTGCGTGAGTGCGACGCGCGGTGTGTACGTGTACGTGTGTGCGGGTATGCGTGTGCGCGTGCGCTCATGTGTGTTCGTGGCTACGTGTGTGTGTTTGAGTGGTGACAAATTATGAAAGACCACAATGGTCATCTATTCATCTATTATCTATATAATAATACAAAAACTCGTTCTTTGCCTTGTACTTATTTTACTGCGAGCTATAACAAAATATCCTGTTCAGGAGCAAAACCCCAAAATCACGCTTACAGAAAAAATGGAATGCAGATAACCACTTCAAGTTATTTCAATTCCCCTATAGTATCATGGTTTGTACCAAGTCCATAACATCATAAATAGGACATATATACTACGCCGGATAAATATTTTTTAATATTCCTAAGCATTATAAGTCATAAAATCGCGAGACCATGTATAGTTAGGCGCTACAGTACGCCGCACTGTTTGTCACAAAACAAGGGATACGCGCGTGTTTGTGCGTGCGCGAGTGTGCGTGGGTATGTGTTTGTGCGTGGGTGGGTGTGCGGGGCGTGCATTTGTGTATGTATTTATACAGACAGGTACATAGATGAATAAATGGATGGATGGATGGTTAGATGGATGGATGGATAGATGGATGGAATGGTGAAATGATGGTCATGATGGTTATGGATGGAGATGGAGGAAATAATAATGGAATGGAAATATGAGGATGGGGGATTTAGATGGTATGGATGGTAGGATGGATTGGTATGGACATAGCGTATGGATTGGATTGGATGGAATAATGGGATGGTAATGTATGGATCGGATGGCGGGGATGGAGGATGGAATGGATGGATGGATGATGGATGGAATGGATGGATTGGATGTGATGGAGGATGGCAATGGCATGGCATGGATGGCATGGATGGAATGTGGGATGAATGGAATGGTTGGAATGGATGGATGGGGTGATGGATCGATGGATTGGCATGGCGATGTAATGGGTAATGAATGGGTAATGGATGGATATATTGAGTGGATGGGAGTTGGATGTATGGAATGGAACTGGAGTGGACATGGATGGATGGATGAGAAGGACATGAATGAGATGGATGGATGGTGATATGATGGATGGATGGATGGAGGCCGGAATGGGATGGAGTATGGATTGATGGATGGAATGATGCGCATGGAATGGATTGATGGATGGATGGATGGTATGCAGGACGATGGATGGCTATGATGGTATGGATGGATGGCATGTAGATGGATGTGGATGGGATGGATGGCCTAATGGATGGTATGGATGGAATGATGGATGCCGATGATGGGAATGGATGTATGGAATGTGATGGATTGGATGCGATGGATTGATGGATGATGGTGGTATGGATGAATGATGGATTGAATGGAATGATGGATTGGATAGAATGGCTGGATGGTAATGGAATTGGAAAATAGCAATGATGGATGAGATGTATTGGATGATGGATCGATCAACTGCGCCGCTTATTGCCGATAGGATAGCAAATTAGATCTCGTCATGATCTCACTTAGAAAAACTAGATTAATACGCAACATAAATTTGTGAGCGCCTGCGTTCACTAGTTATTAATAAGTGAAAAATTCTCACGCATAACTGAAGCTCTTACGCGTGTGTTTACAAAGGCGCGCTTTTCACTTTAACATTATACCTGCCAATTGATGTGTTTGAATTAAAAGCACGATTCTGTAGAAATTTCGCAAAGAAACATAATTTATAACACGGGGTGCTTGTGGCAATGATATGCGTTTAACTATCAAGAATCTCTGGGGGGGGGTGTGGTTGGGGGTGGGTGTGGGAGTGTGGTGGGGGGGGTGTGGGTCAGGGGGGGAGGGTGTG